ATTTGGAGTCCCCCCCCCCCCCCCCCCCGGCCGATTTCATATCGATTTTAAACAAAACTGATAAGTGCAAAACAGTTAAGAACCAATTCAACGATTTTGGTTTAAACCGAAAACCAGAACCAAACTGACAGCCGAGTCGATCATTCATCGCCTACTTTTAGGTTAGATCGATAACTTTTTCCAGAAACAGCACTGCTTAATTTTTTTTTACAAAAATACCACCCAAAGCAACAAAAATCCAAAAATACCACCCTTTTTCGAAAACCGCAACCCAACCTTGCGGTTTACACGAAAATCGCTAGGTGGAGGCGCGATTTTGAAAGCCGTTGGGTGGGGTGGGGGGTTTGGGCCAAACCGCCACCCCACCCAGCGGTTTTTGTCCAATTTTTTTTTTATTTTTTCGATCAACTCCTAACCTCGGCCGAAACTTCAAACGAACGTAACTTTACACTGAGGTATTAGATCTCAGCGATTTTTTTTTTAATCCACATAACTTTTCGAGATCATACAAGCCGCAAACTTATGGCCGTCCAAAGTTATTGAGGATTTTTAGCGTTCAATGATTAAAATTTTATCAATGTGTAATTGTTTCAAAAGAGGAGTTTTAGTGTGGTGGTCAAGATGTTGTGCTGAATTTAATTAACTATTTAGTGTATTTGGGTTCAAACCACCACTGCTACTTTTTTTAATCTCTCTACTAAATGAAAAGATTTAATATGAGATAATGGTGATTCAAACCTAGGACCTTTTGCAAACAAGGAAACAACTAAACCAATTGTGCCAAGACCACTTATGAGATATATGTCGACAAAAAAATATATATACAGAAAACCGCCGGGTGGGGGTGTGGTTTTCAACAAAACTGCCCCCACCCCATGCGGTTTGTAAAACCGCCCCTACCCGTGCGGTTTTCATCGACCCCCCCCCCCCCCCCCAACCAAACGGTTTTCCAGAAAGTGTGGCATTTTTGGAATTTTTCGTACATGGGTGATAGTTTTATAATTTTTTTTTAAAGTGGTACTTTTGGATTTTTCCCTCTAATCAATATAAATATAAGAGAAGCACAAACTAGCTATAGAAAATAAGACAACTTAGTACGTACTTACTAGCTAAGCTAACACTGACAGCCTCAAATCAGGAGATGATAAGAGTTGTCGACGAACAGTAATATAAGGATGGTGTACAATTACTATGATCATAATGTGATGTGGTCCGAGACACATAGTAGATTGATAAGCAAGCAGCCATTTATGTTTCAATGGGTACGTACTTAGTAAACATTGCCACATGCATGCTTGGTGGTTTTACATGCCGTTAGCTTAAAAAAAAAAGTTTGGACCATCTTCCTTTTCACCTCACGATTTCTTGTTAGGGTTTCAGACTCAGTACATCTCTTCTCTCGAATAAAGGCTTGGTTGATCGACTTATTATTGTTATTGGCTAAGTGAGACAAGAACTATTACTATCGTATTGAGATGTTCTTGATGGCAGAATTTACTTGGTTTCGCCGAGATGATTTTATGTTTCGAGGTTTTTTTTTAAGAGGGTTATTATTACTGATAAGAGGGATGAAATCATGACCTATATGAGATTAGGGAAGGACGGTGACCCTTCTGATCACTTTCGCAGGCAGAATAATATACATGTACCGAATGCTGATCATGTACTCCGACGGTAGAGCACTTCTACTATACTATATAGTATTGGTGTTTTAATGTACAACTCAAAGTTGTACCATAACATTAAATGTATAAGTTTAGGTTGTACCATAAAGCAATTTGTATAATTATGTTATGGTACAACTTTACAACTTGAAGTTGTACCATCACATAAAGGTACAAGTTCAAGTTGTACCATAAAAGAATTTGTACAAAAAGTATAGGTACAATCTAAAGTTGTACCATAACGTAAATGTACAATTTTAAGTTGTACCATAAAGGCAAAAACCTATAGCACCAATACTATATACCATTGTAAAATTTCTCCCGACGATAATGATGCTCGTTAGTAATTAACTTTTATTACCACCAATGGTACTAATAATAGCAAGTAATAATGAAAATGATATCATTATTTAACATAACACATATAGGTAGCTAACTCATTACATCTCCGTTATTTGTGGTCCTAGCTAAGCTAATAGCTACAACAACACACGTTACAATATTATAATTATGGCATCGTTGTTATTATCATCGAACATGTATATATTGAAACTTCATTTTCAAATGCTATCATAATTTGTGTCAACATGAATCCCATCTAGCTAGCTATAAGCTACCATATAGGAAAAAATTCAAAACTACCACAGTTTAAAAAAAATTACAAAAATACCACCCATTCCCAACAATTTCAAAAAATACCATCGTTTATTTAAAACCGCGCCTCTAATAAGCGGTTTTAATTGAAACCGCGCCTCCTGGCAGCGATTTACAATATAACCGCCGTGCCAAGAGGCGTTTTTAATTTCCAGCAAAAACCGCTTCTGGAAGGCGCGGTTATATACTAACCCTACCACAAAACGCTTCAAGAGGGAGCGTTTAAATGTCGGCATGATAAACCGCCCCACCAGGCGGCGGTTTACCATGTCCAGACATAAACCGCTGCCCCAAGGCGCGGTTTGTGCCTGGTCACCCGACAGCAAACATGTCGAACATGTCGGCATGCAGGGGGTGGGGCTGCATGGCAGACCTAAAACCGCTCCCCCCCTCTCCCCCACTCAAATTCTTCACACTCCTCCTCTTCCTTCTTCAAATTTCAGCTTTGCACCTTTAAATTATTTAGTTTTTGAGATTAACGTTAATTCGTAAGTTTGTTTTGTATTACTTTTCATTGTCCTTTGTGATTTTATGTTAGTAACTTAATTACTTTTCATTGTACTTTGTGATTTTATGTTAGTAACTTGTATTACTTTTCATTGCAGATGGCATTCCAAAGGTTCGCGCTTGGGTTGCGGTGGAATGGTTACACGGAAGAGACCGAAAAGGGTGTAAGTTACGTCGGTGGCAATTTTTATAAAATGAAGGTCCGTACGAGACCGATGCTTGAAGAGCTCCATCAAATGTGCACTCAGATTACCTGCATGGATGGCACTAGAAGAGTTGATCAAATGGTGTATCGATATCCAAACAGACATGACGGGTCGCTGTGGAATGAGGAATTCCTCCTTACCAGTCAGGAGGACGTTGATGCCATGGTCCAATTTTTTACCACCAATAAAATTAAGCAAGCGGAGATGTTCGTTTACACCGAGGCCGTCGAAGGCAGTGTAGGTCATTCTAGAGATGGCCAAACATCTGGTATCCACGGTGGGAGTGTATTATACGAAGATCATCCCCACCAGGATTTCCAAGACTCGAGCTGGAGGCAGGAGTATCATCATGGAACTGGAGGAAGTCATCAATCCTTCCCTTCATATGAAGAAGAAGTTCAACAGGCGGATCACAACCAACAAGCAGGCTACCAGTACCCACCCGAGTACAACTTCTATCAAAGCGGTGTTAGTTACCACAACTACCATTACGGAGCTGGTGAAGGTGAAGGTGCCTTTCATGATGATAATCAGATGGAAGAAGAGGTCAATCCAAGTCCAGTTAGTGAGAAGTTAGAGGGAGAGAGGGCGGAATGAGTTTGGTGTGCAGAAAATGGGAGGGGGAAGGGGGGTTTATATAGGGACGAAACCGCGTGAGGGAGGGGCGGTTTCGTCCTTTTACCCCGCCTAAAACCACGCCTCCAGCAAGCGGTTTGCGTTCCCCAACAGTCAAACCGTGCTTCAGGGGAGCAGTTTGACTGAGCGACGCGGATCGCTGAGCTGGCGCGCGGTTTGGCCGTCAGATCGCTCCCCCATCGCGCGGTCTGATGCACCGCCACGTGGCCACGCGGTTTGACAGACATGAAGAGTCAAACCACGCCTTGGAGGCGCGTTTTGTGCATTATCCGCTGCCAGGAGGCGCGGTTTCAATTAAAACCGCTCATTAGAGGTGCGGTTTTAAATAAACGATGATATTTTTGGAAATTATTAGGAATGGGTGGTATTTTTGTAATTTTTTTTAACAATGGTAGTTTTGGATTTTTCCCCATATATATGCATACACTAGCTTTCCCCGACATCTCCTTTGTTTGAAAACTCCCTTTACCTCCTTATTTATAAATAAATAAATAAATAAATAAATAAGAGAAAACTCCCTTTTATCTTAATTAGCCCATTGTGATTTCAACAAATGTATATCCTAATGAGTGATCTGACTGGGACTTTGAGGTTGTCAGTATCATAAATCGGTTGATATCAATAACTTAAGGTGTTATGAAAAGGTAAATTATATATGAATCTTATGTGAATTAATCCGAGAGCCTCAAATGAGACTTTTAAAAATCTTCAATTGAAGTGTAACACATGATGCTTTAGTCTTATTAGATGACCATAAAAACAAACATTTATGTTTCCAATCTACACAAATACTTCAACAATATCATGGGAACTCGGTTGCCCACAAGCTAGCTCATTTCCAGAGTAGTGCTAATGAAAGTAGTAGTTGGTTAGCCTTTCCCCTTCATTATTTCAAATGAATCGTACTTAGACATTAACTTTTTGGCTTAATCATTAAACTATAGGAGGTGTGCTCCCTTCTTTCCCTAAAAGAAAAAGAGACAGAGATGATAAATTGAAAATTCAATAAATTCAAACCTGCTATCTCAAAATCCTTCACTGATATTGATCCCTTGGGGGTTCATCTGTATGATGAAATTAGATGAGCCAATTTGGTGTCATTGTCTAAAAATGAAGCAATTTAGTCGAATTGCCTCGTCCGTCATCACAAAATAGGGATGCATTGCTGAGTCAATTTGAATGATCTCGGTTTACATCATTTTCAATTGACACTAAAAATGCTAAATATTTCAAAATGACACATCAATTATGAGATGAAATAATTTCAAGAGAATTATATCAAATTATTTCATTTATGAGATTCTTCATCTAAACAACACCCCAAGAAAAAAAAATGCTCTCAACTAGTGATGGCGGAATTCCTTCAGCAACGGCGGCGCTCTGTCCCTCGGGACGACCGCTGGACACCACCCTGCCTCTGGCTCCTTTCAATCCCTCTGTGACTTTGACGGGAGCTGGTTCCACACCTCCATCTTCTTCAGCACCGATGGATTCCAGCACCACAACGTCGAATATTCCACTCAGCTATGCGAACGTCGTCTCCGATGGCAAAAATCAGGGCTCTACACCACCACTGAGCACTTAATGGGTGCCGATCGGAGAACATGATCTAATCACCGGTGAGCATATGGGAGAACCCGCTCTGAAAATTTCAACAGAACTCCGCACTCGTCTTTGTGCTCCATGGCAGAGAACTTTGGTTATCCGACTGCTGGGCTGCAAAGTCGGATTCGCGACACTTTGTTCCCGACTACGAGCTCAATGGAGACCCACCGGAGCTTTAGAGGTAATGGCGCTTGATCAGGAGTTCTTTTTGGTCAGGGTTGACAATGATCAGGACTATTTCAAAGCCCTCACGGATGGTCCTTGGATGAACTATGATCACTACCTACTGGTTCAACAATGGTCCCCCCAGTTCCGAGTTTCAAACCCTTTGCCTAAGAAAATGATCGTCTGGGTTTAGTTTCCGGCGCTCAAAATCCACCTATATCACAAAGAGGTACTGACAACTTTGGGAATCTGATAGGGCGTACAATCAAGTTGGACTTTCATACCTTGAACCAGCAACGAGCCAGGTTTGCTAGAATCGCCGTTGAGGTTGATCTCTCCAAACCATTGATTCCTAGGATTTACCTCGACGACGAATGGCAAAAAGTGGAATACGAGAATCTTCCTATTGTCTGTTTTGAATGTGGTAAGATTGGTCATACTACGGTATCGTGCCCACTGCTTCACCCATCAGAACCAGCGGGTACCCTAGCCATTGCCGGAATGATTTCGCCGGAAAAGGATTCTATGGCGCCACCGGAGCCGCAATCCGGATTCGGACCATGGATGTTGGTTTCCAAGAAAAGCAAGCGCAATCCTAGGGATTCCCAAAAGAAAGGGAAAGTGGAAGATGAAGTTGGGGGAACAGATCGTGGATATCAAAGCAAGAATGGGAAAGGAAACACTAAAAATAAGGAAAGCAGTGAGACTTCATCACCGGCTGTCACAAAGCCTAGCTCCACCCAACGGTCTCCCCAGCAAAGCAAAAAAGGAAGCTTGGAATCAATTAAAGCAGGGGAAGCGACCAGAAAGGGAAAGAACAAAGGGATTTTGAAGGAGACGGATAGTGAGAAGGGTTTGTTAGGGCCACTTCCGGGCTCGGTACTGAAACCAATGAGTGGGTCGAAGCCCACATCCCTTTTAATTAAAACTCCTTCCGAAATGGGCCCATATCCCCCTGTTCCTTCTATCTCGTCTGGGCCTGCCTCGGATCCGTCCACCTCTGCGACAAAACCTCAACCTTTCTCCTGGATAAAGTTGGGCTCCTCTCTTCCCTCTCAGACGATCATGGGTCCAAATGGAACCAAGATGCAAATCATCTCCATCCCCACTCCGGCAGCGACTCAATCCCAATTTCAGAAATCTCCGAAGTCGACAGGAGAAAGAACGAAACAGAGCAAGGAGTCCAAACACTGCTCCAAGAAAACATTGCCAGTCAAATTAAATCCCTGCAAAGCGTTGCAAGTTTGGTCACCTATGAAGGAGAGGAAATCCAAGTCCAGAGCTCGAATGGCTACTCTTACTTTGCAAGAAATTAGTGCGTGGACCAGGGAGATAGTGAAAGAAGGAGAGGTCATGAGAGTAGAGGAATCAACTAATTAAATGGAAGAGCCCTCGACCTTGCCATTAGTGGAGCCTACGGGAATGCATTCTGCAACCGTCTAATTTGGTGATAGCGTTCTACTCCCTTCTTTTCTTCCCTCTCTTTTGTTTTATTCTTATGATTAGTTCCTCTAATTTCAAAGTCTTCTCCTGGAATGTTGGAGGGGCAGGGAGCAAAGCTTTCACGCGCTCTCTAAAATTGTCCATCCAACTCCACAAACCTTATTTTGTGATTTTACTTGAACCTCAGATCAGCGGCAATTCGGCGAATATAGTTGCGATAAACTTGGCTATTCCAATGCACTCAGAGTCGAGGCAGATGGCAGGAAAGGAGGCATCTGGTTCTTTTGGAATGAGAATCTTTTTTCTGTTCATCTCCTTTCAGCTTGCGAACAGCACATCTCCGTTACCATCTCGCAAGGCAACGACAAGATATGCGTTTTATCTGCAGTCTATGCCTCTCCTCGACAAAGAGACCAGCGGAAATTATGGGAGCATCTTTTTGAGCAGAGCAAATTAAAAGATCTCCCCTGGCTTTTGACAGGAGATTTCAACGCGATTCGAATGGTGGAGGAGAAGACCGGGCCGGCTTCCAGAGCTACCTTTCGAAGATGCAGCCTGTTCAATGAGAGGATTAATTTGGCAGAGCTGATTGATCTAGGATTCTCGGGTCCACGCTTTACATGGACCAGGGGAGATCAGCACTCCAGCCCCAAGGCGAGTCGGTTGGACAGAAGCCTCTACAACCTGCTCTGGAATTTGACCTTTCCGAATACTTCCGTCCTCCACCTTCCTCTTCTCCATTCAGACCACCATCCTATTCTTACTACGATAGCCAATCAGGGACTTTCTTCCTCATCTCATCACCCTTTTAAGTTCGAAGCAGCTTGGCTAATACATGCTAACTTCATGGATTTTATTGCAGGTGCATGGGAGGAGAATGAAGCTCCCCCTAATGCTCTCAATAGCCTAGCGACCAAGCTCCAAAACTGGAATGCCAATGTCTTTGGAAACATTCAGCAGCGGAAGAGGAGGCTGTTGGCTCGCATTAAAGGAGTGAAAGATAGACTCGCCACCACTTTCAGCCCCGGACTGGCCAAATTACACACCAAAATTGAAGCTGAGTTAGATAAAGTTCTGGAGCAGGAATAGCTCATATGGTTTCAAAGATCTCGAGAGAAATGGGTAAAGTTTGGCGAGAGGAATACAACTTACTTTCATCAGCAAGTGAATATTAGAAGGCGGCGCAACATGATCAGAGCTCTTCGAGACATGAATGGGAATTGGATTGATGATCCTCAATCCCTCTCATCTCTAGTCTTTGATTTTTATGCTAACCTTTACTTGCAGGATGTTATCAACGATGAGGATTGACTTCCTAAGCACGCCTTTCCTCGCGTTACTCAGGCTGATTGGCAGAGTCTTCTTCGACCAATGACTATTATGGATATCCATAGAGCCATTTTTGAGATGAAGCCCTTTCAGGCACCTGGTCCAGATGGCTATCAAGCAGGGTTCTACGAACAAATGTGGAACATTGTCGGCAAATCTTTGACTACCATGGCGCTCTCTTTCTTTGCCTCAGAACCTCTTCCAGAGCAGGTGTTAGAGTCGACAGTGGTCTTGATCCCCAAAGTTGACAGCCCGGAGTTTGTCTCCCAGTTGCGCCCGATCTCCCTCAATAACGCCAGCCTAAAGGCAATTACCAAAGTCATGGCCAACCGACTCAAGCCTGTCATGAAGAAGCTGATCTCACCTCGTCAGAGTAGTTTCATTCCTCGTCGGCAAACTACAGACAATGTCATCATCGTTCAGGAGATCCTCCACTCTTTCAGGAAGAGGAAGGGGAAGAAAGGCAGTTTGATTATGAAGATAGACCTGGAGAAGGCGTACGACATGCTTCGGTGGGACTTTCTCAGGGACGCTTTGAAAGAAATTGGTCTTCCCAGCACCAGGATCAGATGTATTATGTACTGTGTTGAACAGAACAAGATGCGCATTCTATGGAACGGGAAGCTCTCACCTCCTATCACTCCGTCTCGTGGAGTTTGCCAGGGAGATCCTCTTTCCCCTTATCTTTTTGTTCTCTGCATGGAAAGACTTTCTCACATTATTGATAAGGTGGTTGCAGATGGTAATTGGAAAGCGATTAAGCTTACTGGGAATGGCCCTCCTCTCACCCATCTCTTTTTTGCAGACGACTTGTTGCTCTTTGCTGAAGCGGAGTCGAGACAGATTCAGGTCATCAAGACCTGCTTGGAAGATTTTTGCTTCAGTTCGGGACAAAGGATCAACTACAGCAAATCCCTCATGTATGTCTCTCCCAACATTCCATGGGATAGAGCCCTGAGACTGAGTCAGAGAGCAGACATTCCCCTTAACCAGGAGTTTGGAAAGTATTTGGGGATTCAGGCTATTCTTGGACGGGTCACTAAAGGGCGATACCAACATCTTCTCCTCCGAATCCAGAAGAAGCTTACACCATGGAAGGCCAAGCGTTTGTCCTTTGCAGCCCGTCTCACTGTAGTCAGATCAGTATCTTCTGCCTTGCCTACTTATCATATGAATACTGAGTTAATCCCGAGTGCAGTCTGTAAAAGCATTGACAAGCTCAATCGAGACTTCATTTGGGGGGACATCGAGAACCAATCCAAAATGCATTTGGTGGCCTGGGAAAAGATGATTCTCCCTAAAGATCAAGGTGGAGCCGGGCTTCGCTCTCCGACAAGCTAACTTATCAATGCTTGCCAAGAACGGATGGCGCCTACTGAAAGAGAAAGAGAATCTCTGGGCTCAGGTGATGCATTCCAAGTATGGACGGGATAAAGAACACTTGGAAATCCTCAGACCGATTCAAGGAAGTTCCTTTACTTGGAATATCTTTGCAAAAGCTAGCAACCTTCTTCGAAAAGGTTGTGCATGGAATATTAAAAATGGGAGGCACACTAAATTTTGGTTGGATGTTTGGCTGTTGCAGGTACCGCTCAAGGATATCGCGGTGAGCCCAATTCCGGAGGAACTCGAAGGTGCGGTGGTCATAGACTTCATTACCCCAGAGGGTTGATGGAAGACGGATATCTTTGCCAACATCCTTCCTATCGATGTTCAGCAGAAGATAACCAGTGTGGCAGTGGATAATCTCTCAGTGGAAGAGGAGGAAATATTTTGGACAACCTCTTCTGATGGAAGTTTTACGACGAGATCGGCGTATAACCTTCTCAACTCCCAGCAGCAGGATCCCGATGGACGGTTTTGGAAGATCATTTGGAAGCTTCCGTGCCCTGAGAGGATAAGAAGATTTATATGGTTGGTGCTTTTGGGGAAGATCGCCACCAACTCTTTTCGTTTTCACAGGAAGATTGCGCCTAACCCTTTCTGCACCCGTTGTCAAGGGCAACCATAGACCATTCTCCACATCCTAAGAGACTGCCCCCCCCCCCCCCCTTGCAGTCTTCTTCTGGAGTAGAAATGTGCCTCAGCAGAAACAAAGCATGTTCTTTAGTTGTGATCAATCCTCTTGGCTGCGACATAATTTGGCAGATTCCGCTAATGACAGAGATGGAGTTCCTTGGGCTACTTTCTTTAGCATTGCAGTATGGCTCCTTTGGAAGAACATATCAACAACTTCGTTCCATGGAAGTTGTGCAGCTCTCACGCCTCCTTCGCTTGCTCACTCCATAATGACTAAGGCAAAGATGTGGTACGAAGCCTGGAATGCAGCTGCAGCTCTATCGGGTACGAGAAACCACCCTCCGAACCGAGTTCTAGCCGAGGTGAGCTGGAAGGCTCCTCAGTTTGGATGGGTGGCTTTAAATATTGATGGCGCCTCCAATGGAAACCCGGGACATGCAGGAGCTGGTGGTCTACTGTGAGACTCCTCTGGACATTGGTTGGGTGGTTTTGTGGCTAACATTGGGCACGCAACGGCTGCGCTAGCGGAGCTGTGGGCATTCTTTCATGGACTGGGCATAGCTTGGAGGAGTGGGCATCGCGTCATTGTGGTCCAGTCTGATTCGGAGTTAGCTATTCAATTACTCAAGAATAGGCGTGATCCACTTCACCCTCACTCCACGATTCTGGCGGCGATTCGTAGGAAGCTTAGTTCTAGACTGGTTGGTTAGCATCACTCATACATACCGGGAAGGGAATAGAGCCGCAGACTGGCTCTCGAAGCACAGTCTCGTCTATCCCTATGGTATGTATGAGCTTGCACACCCACCATCCGGGCTAGCTTCGATTATTAGAGATGATATGATGGGTGTTAGCTTTGAACGTCGTATTGTTTCTCATTCTCCTTCCCTCACTTAATCGGCCTGTAACTTCTTTTTCTTGGCCTTCGGCCTCCATTTAAGCAAAAAAAAAAAAAAAAATCTAAACAACACCCCTAAATCAATGTACCATCGGCTAGATCAATAGTGGGTTTGACAAATGAAAATTTGTAAAAGACGTTCGTAATATTTATTTATTTATTTATTATTTGACGTTCGTAAAGATAATTATGCAAATGAAAGAAAGAGAAATAAAAATATTCCATTAATAATATATATCTTCGGTATAAAAATTCCATTAAAATTTATTTTCCCTTCTTGGGTACTATATATTTCCCTATAATATTAATATCCTAGGCAGAAAGGATAAAAAAACATATGAAAGGAAATTCACATGCAAATTTCCAATCCCTATACACATATAAATATCATATAATAATATAATTAATTGACAAATTAAATAAAATAAAGAAAAAACACAACAGATATCCCATGATAAAGACACACCACCCTGTTTTTTTTTTTTTTTTTTTTTGTCTCATATGAAAAAGCTCCCCTGAAGCAGCTCACTCAGCTCTCCACTGCCACTATCCTCTTCCCTTGCTTCCGCCGCCGCCGCTCCGTCGATTCCGAACTCATTACTCGGATTTGGACTCGGACTCGGACTTGGGCAGTTCCGATTCAGCAGCTCCTCGATCATCTGCAGCGCCATTCTCTCCTCTTCTTCAATTTCCTTCCTGATTTCCGGCACCGGCTCTGCCGACGCCTTTTCCGAATTGTCGGTACTTATTGGATTGTCAGTAGCTTCTTTTTCCAGCTGGGTATTGCTCGAAGTCGACGATCGGTTGCCTAGCTGGACGGTCATGACCCAATTGGAATCAGACCGCTGCCCCGCGCGTTTCTGCCAGACCCCAATGTGGGAACTCTCGGTGTCGAGCCTGAGGCAGGTCATCGACGGCGAGGGCGTCTTGCTGCACTTGCGGAGCTTGGCGTGGAGAATTTCAGACAGCCCATTTTTTATCGGCGGCGGCGGGGCTGATGGGAATGATGAGGATGAGGAGGAGGAGGAGGGTTTGGTTTCGCCGGAGGTGGTGGACTGAGGAACGGGGAAATTGGTCTTGGCGTTGCGTCCGCTCATCAGGATTGCTGCTTGGTCGTATGCTCTCGCAGCTTCCTCGGCAGTCTCGAATGTTCCCAGCCAGATCCTCCGTTTCCTGCAAGATAGTTGGGGGAATATCAGAAAGTTGGGGGAAATGTGAGAGAGTGAGGACATTGCACGCGAACTGTTTGATAGAATGCCGCTTACAGTAAAGGGTGTCGAATTTCCGAGACCCAAGAGCCCCAATGACGCTGCCTGACGCCTCTGAACTTCCTTGATTGCACCATTGGGCTGGTTTTGTTGGTGGGTTCAAGGGAGAGAACAAGGGGAAGGAAGGTTTCAGTTGTGTGACAGGAAAGTACAGGGGAGTTCAGAGTTTCAACAGAGAATGGGTAAGGCTGGCTTTTCAAAGTACAGGAATGCACAGAAAGAGAGAGAAGACAAGGGCAAGGTAATTATAGGAGGCAAAGCTGCAAGAGGTCAGGATTATGATGACGATGATGAATGATGATCAATGAAGGGGGGAAAGGAAAAGGAAGAAGGGACGGCAGAGGAAAGAGGTTAGAGGTTAGAAGAGGACAGTGTCGGCGAACTAAAAGGTTTGTACTAGGTTAGCTGGTATTTAACAGCCTTCACCTACACGGTACACACTCCCTTCCCTTCCCTTTCTTCCTTTTCTGATTTCTCTCTACAGAATTTCAGAAAAGGGTGATAAGTAGAAATCTCTTCTTATTGCTAGAATACCCATTTGAATCATATGCAAACCTTTGGATTGTGTCGTGATCCAATCATCTCACATTTAAACCATTAGGTTATTGACTTAATGCTGCCAGAGAAAGGGCAATGACTATGAGGTGATCAGTTTGTATCCCATAAATTTATAGTAATTCTATCCCTACCCTCTTAACATAGAATTAATGTAGAAGGGCAATGACTTTGGTTGATGGTTTGAAACAAATAAAGTTACAAACTTTAAGGGCAGAACTCAAAAGATGAACTTTCGTTGGATGGAAGGCAAGAGATGGTAAATAGAAAGGGTCAATTAGGCTTAACCTTTCTTGGATAGTTTTGACGAGTATTTCTTGGATATTTCCCTTGGTCTCTTAAAGTTTGCTAACTGTGTGAGTACTACAGCAAACAACAACATAAACACGGGAGGGAAAATTTCTCACTAATTGTACTGCCAAAATTAGTTCTGTTGTCTTATTGAGAAAAGGGGGTCTCAGTGGGTGTATTATGAGAAACAGAGTGATAGGAAATTTTGCAGGACACTTTGGGAGTGGCCTACGCCCAGTTAATGAAGTGGTGGGCGACTACATACATCTCCTTTTCCTCCATGGATGGCTAGTCAGTTTCATAGTCCTTTGTACAGTGTATGGCATCTCGTCTGTATAGGTCTTTTTGTAAGTCCTCTAAACTACATGTAGCTTCACTCCTGTCAACTACTTGATCTCCAAGTTATATGTTATATAAAAGACTTTTCTATGTAGGATGCAACAGAGTTCTGTCAAAAGTAGAGTAAAATCATTGAGCAGTAAAGTGAAGAGGTAGCTGGACTAAGAACATGAGCAGGTGGATAAACCATGGGAGACTTAGTGTGGACCTTCTCTACAAGTCGTAGTATTTCGGTGAAGAATTACCAAGAGCTATCCAGGCCTTGAACATGGCTACAGATCGAGCTCGGTACGATGTGCAGCATACGTATACTCTTCTGGTAAACCAACCACAAATGTATACACTAGCAGCCTGATCGTATTTTGTATATGTCGGCCTAGATTCGAGGACAGTATTGAGAAATGAAGGCTGGCTCTTGTGTACGTTCTTTTAGTCATATCAAAGCCTGCCTCAGGTCATTCATGTCTTGGTTGTGCTGATACTTACGTTTCATTGTAGCCAAATGTTCTCTCTCTGGCTCTGCAATTTCCTTTCCTTTTCTTGACTTGACATGAGATCTTCACGTGGCTATCTCTCTGTCCGGGTACTATGTGCATACTAGTTTGTAGGTTGGTGATATTGTCCTTGTTATAATACACGAAATGAGGTACCATTCATGTATTATGAATTTATGATTCAAGTGGTTATAGAGACGTTACAGTAATAATAGTTCATGTATAGCTGGAGAGTGTAACAAGACGGTACTTCTTTTTGCTATGTTCAAAGTTCAAGGCACATGAGATTGAATACTCAAGTTTCCTGGGGTTTCTCCTCAAGATTAGTAGGAAAATGCTAACTAGCTCTGAGGAATTCCGAGCTAGAGTCTTAAGAGTAGGATACCTACAACTGGAGGATGGAACTATAATCATAGCCAGAGCATCTTATAGTATGTGGTTGATGTCTGGGACTACATTGAGCACACCCGTGTGGAATGTGCTAAACAATAAATCGATTCGGTTTTGGAAGGATATTCAAATCGGTAATGAAGCCTTCTAGATGCTTGGTTACAATGTTGCCACTTGAAAATACCGCAGAAGAGGGTCAGTTCAATGATCGAACTACCTACTAAATGGTGATACCGATCACAAAGAATCAAACACTTCATACGACATGCGATAGAGCAACATGACCCTCTGCATCAAATTCATAATTCCCTCCATCTCATATGTTATGGCTAGGGTTGGCTATTTGGTCTGGGTTTTTTTGGTTTTACCCGAAATCGGACCGTATAATCCGGACCGAGACCGGACCGGATAGTAAACAATCCAATCCAATCTTTGGGCTTAGATTTGAGTTAAAAAATCGTTCGGGACCGGATAAAAAATTGGATAAAGACCGGATAAAAGAGCTCAACACCCGAAACTTAAGGGTAATTAGCATAAACGGTCACAAACCTTTGCAGTTAGTACAAAACTTAACCAACTCCTCACCCTTTTAGGCCTTAGGCCACTCAAATCCCCACAAACTCAATATAAAATCAAGACCGAATTGGGACCGGACTGTATCCAATCCAATCTTTGGTCCTTATATTTTTGAAAAGACCAGACTGGACCAGATCAATTTGGGCCAATTTAACCGGACCGGACCGTATATGTTGAAAGGTGCTTAAGATTCTCAAAAACCATATACAAACATATGTCACGACGAGATGAACTATATCAATCCTGCTAGATTCAATATTTACCTACTTGAATATAGTATCAGTTTCCACAACAATGCTAATCCGGGTCATTGAAGGATTTCTTGCATCATGCTTCAAAACCCACCAAAAGTATATCAATATGTTCTCAACATATAATCACAAAGAAAAACCGACATTATCTTCCAAATTAAGTGTTCCCAACCAAACACACTAACTATAACTAACTAACTAACCACATCACATGCTAAGTTGCAACCATAAAAAGATTATTAGTTAGAAGGGTCCATCATCCATCCGATCTTTTCATTTGAAGCATGCATGTTGATGTTCGTACATTGTCCTTCTCTTATAATCATTAAATTTCTAATAAATCTTGGACCATTGTAATTAAGTGAATAAATGGTCCCTAAAATTAATATGAATTAGCATTTGCCCATCTTTAGTGCTAATTATGTTATCGTCATTGTCATTTTCTTGTATTGATATTGACTTCTCATACTTATAGTATTAATCTCTTTGGTCCCAACTTGTATTTCATCTAACAAAAATCACACCTTGGGAACTAATTAGAACATTATAATTTAGGTTGACATCATCTCATCGCTTGAGGCATACAATATTTCCCTAATGAAAGACATTCACAGAGAGGTTGAATTGTCTTTTTAATGACCAACAATACAGTGTAAGATTGATCATAAGATTTTTTTTTGTGTGAAAGGGAGCGAGCACCGCTACCTCAATTAATAAACCTCGCGGACTACAAAGTCGCTAACATAGTCATACAAGAGCCAACGCTCGATATCCGAATCAATACAGTCAACAGAAATAGAACCAGGATGTAACAGGTGACCCCTTATGAGCGAGACAGTCCATCTCTAAGCGCTCCTTCTGCAACGGTAGACTCCGACAGTTGCAAAAGCGATCCATCCGAGTTCACTGTGAGCCATCCTGTAGGGGCTGGTCTCCACCCCACAGCCAAGTCTCTACTCAACCCAACCTCCCCAGTGTTATTGTGTGTTCCGCCACTTTACTCTGTATTGCATCAACTTACTAAGGGCCTCCTCAATGGCCTGAAAAGACATGCTCATTCCTCAAACGCCACAAGAACCAACAAGTGAAGCCGAGTTCCCCCTCCACACGTCCCGGTAAACTCCATGAGCTGCAAGCCACAAGAAGTGTCGTACTCAGTTGGGTCCCAGCCACCTCCACACGTCCCGCCATCCCTGGTGCGTAGGGATGGCAATGGGGCGGGTTTTGTCAAACCCAAACCCATGGGTTTATCTATAAAAAAAACTCGGGGTAAAACTCGTTGGGTTTGAAAAACTCAAACCCAACCCAACCCGCTGGGTATCCGCGGGTTCATGGGTACCCGTGGGTTTTTGTGGTAAAAATTTACAATAACAAGTTTCTTTCAAAATAAAATTTTAACATCATTTTTCTCATACAAATTAATCATACAAAAAACACCAATCTAGAGCATACAAGCAAACCGCAAATGATCAATACAAATTGTTCAAAATTAAAGATAAACATATATAAACAATAAGATTAATTGAAAGTTTCTTCATCGTCAACTAAGTTTCTTCACTCTCCACTTCATAATATCAACTTCATTCTAAACAATTAGAAAGAACAAATTATACATGTCTCCACAAACATATAGAATATTAGTTGTTTAAGGAAGATATATTATTTAGAATATTAAATATACCGGGAAAGTAATTATATGTATGTGGGCAGGTACCCATGAAGCGGGTTTACATAAACCCAAACCCAACCCGATAAATAGTGTAGCGGGTTTAAACTCAAACTCAGCCCAAAACCCGTAAACACGGATTTTACCCGCATTGATCAGATTGGATCGGTGGGTCCCCATAGATTCGGATTTGGTTGCCTTTCCTACTAGTGCGTCTCCCCTTGGTCCAGCTTGGCTGCCCGTTGATACGCCGAGCGAAGCGTAAAGTTACCTTTCTCCTCCAATCCCCATACGATCTCGTCCTCTCCTAGTTCAGCTTTCGGCAGAGTGCCGTACCTATAACCTGCAAACACAACTCCCTTGGTAATTAAGAATTGTTCGATAAGAGATAGGTTCCACTCACCTGAGCTAGTTATCATAAGATAATCAAGTGACTTTTCACTTATGACAAAGCTCAAATTTAATATTGACGAGAGATTAGTTAGAATAGAAAAGAACATTTTACAACTTCTTATAAGGGAATTAGAGTTTTGCAGGAAAAGTTGTTAACAACACATTATGCTCCCCGCACTATATACACAAATGTTATATCATCAGAAGACCAAATATTGACTGAGACTTTAATTTGGTTTTGACTTTGCCACCCACAATTTCGAAATTCCTACATTTTTACCCTTATTTCTACACTTTTTTTTTTTACTTAAAGGGTGAAGATGTAGGAGACTCTCACTCTAGTTGTTGGTATGCCAACCAATATTCCTTATTAGTTGCAAGTTTGGTCACTCGAATTGCTATAAAATTTCACGTTTGCCACTCAAATTAATTTATTCCATTTATAGTCACTCGAATTAGTTGAACAGTTCAAGTATGGTCACTCTCCGTTAACCTCCGTTAACTTTGACTGACGTGGCGGTCAACTCTGACAGTTGACCGTTAAATGTGTGACGTGGCAAATAAAAAATAATTAAAAATTAAATTTTTAAAAATTACACATCATTATCACAAAAAAATTATAATTAAAAAAATGAAAAAAAATTACAGTTAAGAGAAAGAGAATGGCTTCACTTCCTACTGAACTTCCCGCGCTTCCCATGATTCTTCTGCATCTGGGAACCAACTCTCTTCCTTATTCTCCCTGCCAAAGAGCGAGATTTGGCCTCGTGCTGCTTGCCCGCGAGGTGTTCGATCATTTGCTTATGAGAAGTAGCACTCACCTGGCAAACCACGCACCTGAAATCTTCCTTGGGTTTCTCCCCCTCATCGTCCTCCGATTTCTCATGCTTCCCGCCTCCGAGGTCGGACAGCTTCTCCGCTTTGTTAGGTTCCGCGGCAGAGGCAGAAGGAGGCATGACCTCAGGCGTCGGCGGCACCGGAGGAGTAATAATGAAACGGCGCTCTGGCGGCTGTTCCGGAAATATCGGGCACCCCGGCTCCGCCGTCGAAATCGCCGGCTCCGGATCTTTCTCCCCGATCATCTGCCGACGCAACTCCGCCCTCATAACCTCCTTACGCCGCTCGATCTCCTCCGCGATTATCTCCTGCCACACCCGCACCTTCTCAAGCTCCCGATGGAGCGTCTCGTCCGTCATCAGTTGGAGGCTCGACTGAACACCTGATCATTCCCGGCCCAAAAAAAAAACAGAGGTACTCTTAAGAAACTGAATCGAAGAGTGCATGCGAAAGAAGAGAACCGACCGAGAAATACCGAACCTCGAAACGGCGGATGAGGCATGGCGGCGGAGGGTGAAGGCCGGTGGTGGGAGGACTCAATCGGCGGCGATATGCGGTCGCCGGCTCTGCACCTAAACTCCATGGAAAAATTATAATTATTTTTTATGATAATGATGTGTAATTTCTAAAAATTTAATTTTTATTTTTTAATTATTTTTTATTTGCCACGTCACACATTTAACGGTCAACTATCAGAGTTGACCGCCACGTCAGTCAAAGTTAACGGAGGTTAACGGAGAGTGACCGAACTTGAACTGTTCAACTAATTCGAGTGACTATAAATGGAATAAATTAATTTGAGTGGCAAACGTGAAATTTTATAGCAATTTGAGTGACCAAACTTGCAATTAAGCCAATAAGTTGTATACAAAAAGTTCATGTGCCAAAATGGCCTAAAAAATACAATCTTACCGAAGGTAAAGTTTGTGTACCGTAATGACCAATTCAAAAAGTTCAAGCGGCAAATTGCTCATCTTGCCTTTTTTTATTTTTTCTCTTCAAAAATCTGAATTGACTGCAATTCAAACTTGCAACTGCCGTTCAAATCGATTCCGAATTCATAACCGGCGGAAATCGGTAGCCGGAGGAGGAAAATTTGGAAGCTCATCGACGGCGTCGTTGTGCAGCTGCCGGGAGAAGAACGGGTAGGATCCGGATTGCGCCGCTGTCGTTGCGGCGGCGGAGAAATGGTCCGATTTTGAGCCCGAGGAGGTGGAATAAGGGTTACAGCTTGGAAGGTAGGCTTTCCCTTTTTATGTAAATGTTCGATCTTTCATTCATTGCGAACTGTGTTACAAAGAATGGAGGGATCCATTTTCGACTGATTTCCTAACAGTAAGGTGGGTGTAACTGTATCAATAAAAACACTTTGAGTTCGATTAGTTGCTCTCATCATAAATAAGCAATTCAATGAATGATTTATAAGGGTATTGAAGAAAAGCTACAACACACTGCAACTTAGCAACAAGCAGGCATCCATAATCAAGAAGACAAGAACAAAGTCCCTTTCATTGTTAAACGTTTTCGCAGTGTGCTGGTAGTTGGGTTTGTGTTGCCCCATTTGAAGGTTCCAAAAGGCCATCACTTTCATTCATACTCATGGCACATGTGTGTGCAATGATGTAAGTGTCTGAATTGTGTAAAGTCTGTGAGATATTATGATTCTGAAGAGGAAAAGAAAACCGAACGTTCGTTATTAATCATGGCACATGTGTGTTCAATGATGCTAGCTGCACTTGGTTTACTTGCCCCCATGGCGAGACTTGTGGGACAAAGAGCTTCCAGGGAACAGAGAAAAAGTATGCCAAGTTAAAAGAGGAGTTGCTTCTGATTCCTGTAAGTGGTTGCTTGGCCATTTAGGTATACTTAAATGCTTGTTATGAAGCTCTTTTAATTTTGAGATAATGTAGACCAGTCTGAGCTTTGGAGAGCAAAAGACGAGGCCTTGGATGATGAAGCTGATGTTGCTGGACAGCTCCAGCTTCATGGAATTGAAGATCAGGCACTTAATGATGTGAAAGCTACTGTTTGGCATCAATACTTCCTGGTTAGATCGTTTGTTCAACCATTCAAATGGAGAACCCTTTTTGGGTGGCAATCGTTTGACATTCTGTTTGTCTGTAGCATGGAGAGATTGCTGAACAAATTGATCGAGATGTGGATAGAACTCATCCGGACATAAATTTCTTCTTCCGAGATTCATCCTCCATCAGGAAGAACAAGGTTTGTGTTCTTGTGTCTTATGACTTGGTTATCTCAACACCTCAGTTTTATGGGTTTCTGCCATTTCTAAGAAATTCAGGTTTTGTTGCAGGGGGCAATGAGGGACATTCTTCTGCTGTTTGCAAAAGTGAACCCAGCTATTGGTTATGTGCAAGACATGAACGAGGTTTTGGCACCCATTTTCTACGTTTTTAGTACCACATATGATGAACAGGATCTGGTAAAAGTTAAAATATAGAGACTTCTTTGATTGAAGCAATATGTAGTGTTTCAATTCATTTTGTTTGGATTAATGCTCTGTCCAGGCAAATGTAGAAGCAGACAGTTTTTACTGCTTTGTAAGATTGATGAGTGTCTCATTAGATCACTTCTGTAAACACATGGACAATAACCTAGTTGACATCCTCACTACATTTTCCAGCTTAGTGAGGTTATTGAAAGCTAATGACGAGAAGCTGTGGCGCCATCTTGAAAACACTAGCCAGGTCAGTTTCTGACCCTAAGAGGGTTGGATCCATAAAATCCCAGTTGAGGAACTAAGATGCAGTATGTTGATGATGAAAATGAAACAGGTGTATGCTCAGGTCTATGCATTCAGATAGATAACTCTGCTACTGACTGAAGAATTCGGATTCCAGTCCATATTAAGGATTTGGGACTCTCTTCTGAGTAATCTATTTGGAGATCAGGCCTCTCTCTTGGTCTTGAGGATTCTCTCAATCTCATGCGTATTGTTGTGATGCTGAAGGATATGCTGCTGAGGATTTCTTGTGCAATGTTGGTGTGCTTGAGGAGTAGGTTACTGTGGGGGGATTTTGCAGCCAACCTCAAGTTGTTCCAGCATCACCCTGATGAGATCGACATAGAATACCTCCTCCAAGTAGCTCGTAGTATTGGTCTGGATGGTTCATCTCTGCACTTCGCTTTGCTACCTGGACCTTCTGTAGCCAAGGAATTCAGCTGAAGAAAGCAGGTACTAGAGACACTGAGAACTGCAGGAAGCCAGGGTCTGGGCCATTTAGCCTTTTCCTTTCAGTAACTGCATTGTGCTACATGCTCAGTCATTCACGATATCTCTCGCGGCCGAAGAGACTTGGGAGGGAGCCTATACTAGCAGCATAGCCGAGTTCTAAGATCCTGAAGTTCACATCTGTGTACTTGGTAATCTCTGTACTGTCACTTATCGTGCTTCTATAGTTGTTATTGACACATGATTGATGGAAATAACTGCAGGTCTATCATCAGCCGACGAGTCTGCATCATCGTATTGTCTTACAAGTATGAATGCAGGTTCCTTGGGAGATGGAAGAGTGGTTGCATTACCCAACATGGAGACAACATTCGACATGGTCGGCCGATCCGTTGGAGATTCCTGAACACATAAAAGGCCTATCTGAATGCACCTCATCACTTGATCTGCGGAATATGATTTTCCCATAGTCGGCGAATCTGCAACCTCCAATGCTCTTCCTGCCCTCCACAAATCCCACACCTGGTGTAAGGTACAAACTAAATTAATTAGGTTAAAATCTCAGGTCAGCTTCGTTTCATTTGTAATGGACATGACACTTACGTGGCCTATCAAGCTCAATGATGGATTTTCTTTGTAACAATGGTTGCTTCTCATGCCACTGACAATCTCAAGTACGAGTATCCCAAAGCTGAAGACGTCGGATTTCGTGGAGTATAGGCCTTTTATTGCGTATTCTGGTGACATGTATCCGCTGCAGCAACATTCATACACAGTAACAAGAAAACAACAATCATTTAATGTTTCAAATATATAGGCTGCTTAAAGAAAAACCATTTTAATGACTTGATCTTACTATGTTCCCATAACTCTGTTTGTATTGGCCTCCGTTTGATCCTCCCCGAATAACCTAGCCATCCCAAAATCTGAAATTTTGGGGTTCATTGTGGCATCCAATAGTATATTGCTAGGCTTTAGGTCTCTGTGAATAATTTTCAACCTTGAATCTCTGTGTAGATACAATAATCCTCGAGCAATTCCGTTCACTATATCAAATCGTGTCTTCCAAGTCAATAATGAGCCTTTTGTTTTATCTATATTTAGAGAGAAAAATAGGTAAGATTAAATTTTTTGACATTGATGATTAATGGATCGAGTTGAATAGGTGAGGAAAACGAACCAAAGATGAAGAAGTCAAGGCTCTTATTTGGCAAGTACTCATACACCAGCATTTTCTCCTCTCCATGAATGCAACAACCAAACAATCTCGCTAGATTCTTGTGCTGGAGTTTGGATACCAGCTTCACTTCGTTCTTGAACTCTTCAATCCCTTGGCTTGAAGTTTGCGACAATCTCTTCACTGCAACTTTTTGCCCGTCGGGTAGTAAACCCTAAACAAAATAAGAGGCAGAAACTCAGATGCATAAAAATATACATCCTTTTCGAGTATGTATACCGTCTAAACACCTTTACATACCTTATAAACAGAGCCAAAACCACCTTGCCCAATCTTGTTGGCCAGCGAGAAATTCCCCGTGGCTGCAAATATGTCATTTACGTCGAAAATCGACACAGAAGAATCCTTCTCCTCATACAAGTTCTCATTCTTAACATCATAATGTACTCCATTAACAATCCGATTGGTGCCTCCCCTGCCTTCTGCAACAAGTAAGAACAGATCAGATCCGTTTCAGGCTTTCAGCAATATACAGTTCATTAGCTTTACTTCAATTTGCTCACCTTTTCTTCTCCATTTCAGCAGGCAACAACACACAATCGAAACCCCCAAAACCACGGCCGCCGTCGCACCCACAGACGCCAAAGTAATCACCAACACTTCCTTCTTCTTCTCTTTCTTCTTCTTCTTCTCCTCCCCACTCTGCCCTTCCGACTTTCTCATGTATTCATCCAACGCAATTGCGTCCACTCGCACGAACAAGTCCTGTCGACCATCAGTAAAGACCCTCGTATCCATCAGATCTCCATACAGCGTCACGCACCCGACTCCGTTCGTCACATTCGCATTCGCGTAAGCCGTGCAAGAACAGTTCTTCAGACACTCTGTTCTGCACGTCTCCAAATCCACACCAACATTCAGTCGCCCTGTCACAGTGTCAGGAACTTTCGCATTTTCCAATTTCACAAACCCTTCACCGTCCGTACAGGTCGAATTCCGTTTCCTGACACACCCACCTGACGAATCTCTCACTGACCAATTGTTTGGAAATTTCGGCTCGAACCCAGGAAGGCAATCGCACTCCAGCTCCCCTGCTCGATAAGGGTCGCAGTTTCCGTTCGGGCCGCAGCGGCCGTAGTAATCGCAGGGATCCTTCGGCCCGGAGCTGAATTCGACCCACTGATCGTTCTGCCATATGTTCAGCTTCATGAACCCTAATGAATCGAGGTACATCCTCGACACGATCGCCGGATCTCGGAACGCCCAGACTGTGGTCGTCTCGCTGCTGTTTATGTCACCGGCGAATAATCTGGTGGTGTAGTTGTAATTAACCACCGAGTCGTGAATCGAATTTCGGTTCCACGGGGTGTAACGCCACCGTTTGGTCCGACCGGTTTGGTGGTAAATGATGATCTGGGGCACTCCCCTCGGGTCGATGCCCATGGACCAGTCCCCCGATGCGGGGTCGTCGGGAGACTTCCAGGACCGAAGGGATCGATTCAGCCCGGTCCTGAGGTCCAGCCCGAACTTCATGTTCGGGAACAACGTGTCGGTCAGGTGATCGAAGCTCTGCCAGGTGACCGTCGTGCCGTCGGACCGAAGCACGACGAAATTTCCTGTGTCGAGTAGCTTGGCGGTCGAGTTGTTCATTCCCGCGGTGGTAGGAACGTTTGCTGACCACACGGGGACGGGGTTCCCGGTGGTTCCCCGTCGTTGCAGGACGAGGTCGTTCGACCGTTGGTCGAACGAGAGCGACCCGGTTGTGTCGTTGATCGGGTCGTCTCGGTTGGCGACCCAGACGACGGTTAGGACCGGAACCTTGGTGTACCATATTCCTAGGTAGCGGTTGCTCGAGTTCCCGGCAGTGGGGCTGAAGAAGCCGAGAGTGTAGGTTTGGTCGCCATTGGAGACCAGCACTTGACCATCTGTAAGAGATTGGTTGAAGCTGATGGTGTCTGTGGTTGATGATGTGCAGAGATGAAGAGAGATTATGAGGTGAAGAAGGAATGAAATGGTTATGGCTGCAGCAAGGTCCATAAATCTGCAGAGAAAGGAAACTGAAGAAGCCAGACTGATTTTCTGAAGTCTTGGTTTTCAAGCTTTGAATCCCTTTCATAGGGAGACTTGAGGGGGTGGGGAGAGGATATTGACATTTTTGTCAATCACTATAGCAAGTTTGTGGTTTGTACTTTGTAGTAGTCAGCTAGTGAATAGATAATCAGAGATTTTTTGTCCAAGTTATTAGATTACATTTGAACCTTCTCAGCCACTGGAATTGACTTTATAGATCTCAGACTTTTGAGTCACCATTTCAGCAATACTTGGGTAAGAAGTAGTCTTTTTGGTTGTTTCTGGGAAAGAGGGTTGGTAAGGTCCATAATTTATGGGTATTTGAACTCAATTGGATTGGTAACTAGTTTGATTGATTTATACTCATGCCTAGTTATTTGAGTTAGATTTTTAATTCATGAATTTGGGTTATATTCATATTTCATACTCAAATTAAATGTACCATTACCAAGACTGTCCACAATACCATTAGTCTATTACCAATAAACATATCCACCAATACCAAAACAATCGAAATGGAAAACATATGGGTACAAGCATAAATTCAATTGTCTTTTTCGCCATGTTCTATTATAAAAAAATGGAAAACGAAATCAATCACACTCTTATTTAGCAAATTAATTACCGATATATATCGATCACTTAATGTTGATTCGCTAATTAGGATTCCTTCTCAATATACATAAATACGTAATTAATAAGGGAGTAGACTTTTCAAAATTAACACAATACTCTTAGTTGTGACGATGCATACCACCATGAGTTCGACACTAAAACGGTTTTCGACGGGAACGGCTACGGTGCTAATTGTACAATAGTTAGCACCGTCCTAACCAAGGGAAAAACTACTACTAGTTTGAATTAGTAGTGATTTAGCTTAGATGTTGTATTGATTTTATAATAATCCGTAGTGATTTCGTTGTTTTTAGTAGCGTTTTTTGCTAGTTATCACGGTGCTAACCCCTATAAGGGTTAGCACCTAATCCCATCCCGTTTTCGACCCATAACAAAGTAGCCTCACGACAATTCGAGCTATTGCGAAACCAAATAGGAGGAGCCAACCAACCATCCAGTCATCGATGAAGGATTACGATTACTCCCAACTTCCAGATGACATCCCTCTATAATATATAGCAGTACTTCAGGAGATTTTGAGCATTTCAAATTCCTTGCACTCTCCTTAATTGTAGCTAGGGGTAAATTTGTAAGTTCAACTTAGAACTTAAATATCTTCTTACGAGAAAAAAAATGTCATTACAAAGACTTGAACTTGATGAGTCCTTTGAGATTGATAATCAATATCCCTAACCAACTGGACTAGAGGGCTGGTAAGGTCCATAATTTATGGGTATTTGAACTCAATTGGATTGGTAACTAGTTTGATTGATTTATACTCACGCCTAGTTATTTGAGTTAGAATTTTAATTCATGAATTTGGGTTATATTCATACTCAAATCAAATGTACCATTACCAAGACGTCCACAATACCATTAGTCTATTACCAATAAACATATCCACCAATACTAAAACAATCGAAATGGAAAACATATGGTACGAGCAGAAATCTTAATTGTTTTTTTTGCCATGTTCTATTATAAAAAAATAGAAAATGAAATCAATCACACTCTGATTTAGCAAATTAATTACCGATATATATCGATCACTTAATATTGATTCACTAATTAGGATTCCTTCTCAATATACATAAATACGTAATTAATAAGGGAGTAGACTTTTCAAAATTAACACAATACTCTTAGTTGTGAGTTGTGACGATGCATACCACCATGAGTTCGACACTAAAACGGTTTTCGACCCATAACAAAATAGCCTCCCGACAATTCGAGCTATTGCGAAACCGAATAGGAGGAGCCAGCCAACCAGTCCCGATGAAGGATTACGATTACTCCCAACTTCCAGATGACATCCCTCTATAATATATAGCAGTACTTCAGGAGATTTTGAGCATTTCAAATTCCTTGCACTCTCCTTAATTGTAGCTAGGGGTAAATTTGTAAGTTCAACTTAGAACTTAAATATCTTCTTACGAGAAAAAAAATGTCATTACAAAAAATTGAACTTGAGTCCTTCAGATTGATTATCAATATTCCTAACCAACTGGACTACAACAATGTTTATGTATTTTTTGAATTAAAGAAAGAAAATACTAAAATATCTCAAAATCATAGGACTATCCACCGCAACAATCAATCATCGAATTAATTAATAACTGTAATATTTACAAAGTGAATCATCATGATATACCTAGCTTTATGAATCAACTAAGTGAGTTCCACTAATCACACAATTCTTCACCAAGAATCAAATAGTACATTTTGAGTTTATGTATGTCTTACAACTTTTCATTTATTAGACAAGGATTGTTTACAAAAGTGCTATACAAAATATTATTTCAAAACATAAAATTTGACATTTGTGATCTATGGTTTTGTAACGAGACATTTTCAATGCTATAAGTGAATGCCCAAAAATCATTGGCTAACAATTTCCCTAATGGTTGACAATTATAAGCATAGAATTGAAAGACTAAATACCATTGACAAATGAGCCAATTATCATGGGCTAAATGTAACAAACAATGGTATGTGTATATACATTGGAAATTCTATGGTACGCTCGATGGATTGAGGGTTATTGCATCTCCTTAGTTAAATAACATTATCTAGATCATTGATTAATCACGTAACTAAACCCTATATCATAATTCTCTAAATCCTAATATAGTGCATATGGTATGTTGTATACATCTTGGCGAATCAAAATCATTGATTATGTTCTTAGTATAAGTGATATTAGGATTTAAGTTCTATAAATTTAGGGTATATGATTTAATTATTTGAAACTTAATCTCCCTTTTCAATTTACTGCAAAGAGAGGGAAATTAGGTATGACATTTTTGTCTTCACAATTATCTGTATTGTTTTATTTATTTACATAAAAAGATAGACATATTGTAATTTGAAACATGGTCACTTCAAACAAAGTGAAGGTTTAAAATCAATCAGACTATGTAGATTTGTTGTGTTTTTTTAAATTAAGAATATATACGATGCTAAAATATGAAATCACAAAACTTTTCATCAGTTAGCTAGCTCAATAAATATTCCGTAAGTACTTATTTGGTTTTTTTATACTCCAATTTTGATATTTTTTAATTTTAATTATAGTTTAATACTTAATTTAAAATTTTATCTATCTCATAAATAGACGATAACCATAAATTTGCAACCAAAATATTGGTGGTTCGAATATTTCATATCGAATTATAGTATTGAATATGTAGAAGCGATATATAATTCTTAAATTATCATTAATTTTCAGAATTATAGTGAAGCAATCATATCTTTGTGCAAACTATATGGGACTGGTTCTCTGAACATTTTTGTCCGGTTAAATACTAAGTTTTGAAACTCTTCCTAGGGGTGTACGTCGGTTCGTTTGGGTTTATATATTTTAATCACCTAACTCATATACCACAATTTTGAAAACACTAAATACAAACTCACCCAAATAATTTAGAATTTTAACGGTTTGTGTCCTCCATACCAAATGAACCAATTTACATGTCGCTTAACTAAGGACGATCTCATTGTCCAATCCCATCATTATAATGTCAATCCATAAAAGTAACTCATATCCGTGTTTGTTAACACATTTTCACATTGTCATTACTGTGACCAGTAACTTCGCTGCAACTGTTTCGATATTGCTCATCATATGGCCTCCAAACTGATAAACATATCGGGCCAGCAGTTTTATGACAAAACTCAAAGTGAAGACAACTCATCGTCTGGTGGAATTTTAGCACTTGCTGGTGTCCATTAATCTAATTGCAAGCATAATGGTTTCTAAAATTAAGCTTACACGCAACACACTGGGAGTTGGGGGTGTGCACTTGAAGTAAAAGTTGATATTGGGTTTGGGAAGGGAAGTGGTGAGAGGAAGAGATTGTGTTTGGATTTGGTAGCACGTAAAGTTCATAGTTCATGGAAGTCGCAGTGCTTTTTTGGATCTCTCATGTGGGGCAAGAACTTCAGGGGCGCGGGCCAGTTGAGCTTATACCCCTTCTCGCGTAGAACGTGGAACACGTTCTTTACGGAGTCGTTGAGCGGTGTAAACGCGTGAGGCGCGCGCCTGTCTGGTGATCTTCTCCGCTGCGCTTGCTCTTGTGGGGGAGGGGGGTGTTGCTTATGTCCGCTGTGCAGCTGCGCTAGCTGATCTCGCGGCAGCGTGATCTGCCGTCGTCCCTGCTCTTCTCGCGGCAATTTGGCTGGCTCGAAGCGCCTAACCGATCCCGCTCCTAGGGTTTCCTCCAGCGTAATCGCCTTCTCGATTTTCATCTCTAACTCCGTTGATAGAGTTACGGGCCTTTTTGCTAGCGCCCGCTTGAGTTCCATGTTGGTTGTGGCTTCCATAAGGTGATGGGCGGCTGTTTCAGGAGTAAGGTCGCGCACTGCCATCGCCACTCTGGACCATCTGGCGTAAAATGCTCGTAGGCTTTCCCCGTCTTTTTGCCTGAGGTCTACCAGCGCTTTGAGGTGGAGCGGGCTCCTTTTTTGGGATGTAAACTTCGTCGTGAATAGGAGTATGAACTCCTCGAAGGTGCGGATGATCCCGTTTGGGAGCCTGTTATACCAATCTAGGCATATCCCAGAAAATGTTGATGGGAAGGTTCGGCATAGTGCCGCGTTGGAGTTGGTCTGGAGCTATATCCGCAGGCAGAAAGTGCTCACGTGATCCTCGGGGTCGGTCGTCCCGTTGTATGTCGGGAGGGCGGGTGGCATTCCGCTCAGGTGTTCCGCCATGATTTCCGCGCTCAGCGGCTGGTGGAGCGCCTTCTTGGGCGCGCTGAGTCGGTATTGCGGAGATAGGTGTTGCTCTAGAAAGCTGAGGTCCGCCCTTCCTGGAGGCTCAGCTGGCTGTGTTTCATGCACAGGGTGTAGTTGCGGGAACGTTCTCGACGTTTCTCCGCGGGCTTGTTGGAGAGCGACTGGTGTTGCGCATACTGCGAGCTCGACTTGTTGCGCTTCGTGCGCGGGGTGCGCTGGTAGGGTTGTGCCTGGCGCGGATGGTGTCGCGCCCGCTGTTGCCGCGGCCTCTTTGCTCATCATGAGCGCCATGACCTGGCTCATTTGTTTCTGCATGTTGGCTATGACGT